CTTCCCCCCCCCGATCTCAGCTGTTTCCTTCTCCGTTCCTCCAACTCTTCCCCAGCTTGAGCAGGCTTCTTTCTCCGTTTCTTCCCCCCCCCGATCTCAGCTGTTTCCTTCTCCGTTCCTCCAACTCTTCCCCAGCTTGAGCAGGCTTCTTTCTCCGTTTCTTCCCCCCCCCGATCTCAGCTGTTTCCTTCTCCGTTCCTCCAACCCTTCCCCAGCTTGAGCAGGCTTCTTACTCCGTTTCTTCCCCCCCCCGATCTCAGCTGTTTCCTTCTCCGTTCCTCCAACTCTTCCCCAGCTTGAGCAGGCTTCTTACTCCGTTTCTTCCCCCCCCCATCTCAGCTGTTTCCTTCTCCGTTCCTCCAACCCTTCCCCAGCTTGAGCAGGCTTCTTTCTCCGTTTCTTCCCCCCGATCTCAGCAGTTTCCCTTCTCCCTTACTCGTCGGGGGTTATATGCGTGGGCGGGGTATACGGAAAATATTTTACACGAGCCGGAAAACCTGCGGGTTATTCGCGTGGGCGGGTTATTTGCGTGGGCGGGTTATATGGGTGAAAATACGGTACTTACGAAATAATAAAAAGTGCCAAATTTATAGTGACTTGCAAACTGCTAACAAGTGAAATAAAGAACTCAATTGTTTACACTGCCAATTTATATCCCTGACATATATGCATATGTTCAAAATAAATTAACTAGGTGGGTTTGTATTTGACATTCACATATGGTTAAAATCAAGTTCCTTATCTTATTTTATTATTACAGAGCTTACTAAGATAAGTGCACAAAAGCATGATGTGGAGTATCAAAGATCAATAACTTTATCATCCCATACAAACTTACCATTAACACACCAAATGACCACCAGTCTGCACTCTGTGTATGACCTCGCCGATTAACTACTTCTGGGGCCATATATTCCACTGTTCCACAAAAGGAGTACGCCTTTTTCTCATGATCAATAGATTCTTTGCTTAAGCCAAAATCTGGAAGGAAAAAAAATACACTTTTATACGTATACTAATCAGAAAAGTATTTAGTTTTTAATAGGCTATTTTTAAGTGCATGTAATTTACAAACATTCTGTTTTATCACGCAAAAGGGAAGGTGTCTACAAATCATTCATAGAAAGTAAATTTTGTCTTACATACCTGTTAATTTAATATGACCTTCTTCATCAAGAAGTATGCTATAAATAAAATAAAGTTTTTAATTGGTTGTATGAATTTTATTGGTAACAATTAAAGAAAGCTATAAATAGTATAAAATGTTATTTCAGGGTTACTCCTCTATTGATAAAGGTTTCCCCAGTCCAGTTGTGTTCGACTCTAGGGAGTGGTGCTCATCTCCGTTTCTTAACTGAGGAAACTAATGTTGTCTGAAGAACTTTAGTGGTCAGCAAGCCAGCATGACCATAAGCCGAGAGGCATGGAGTGTTGTTACCTTCCCACCAAAGTGGTACCTATTTATCTAACGTATTTTTCGGAGTATAAGATGCACCTTTTTGCCTCAAAAAAGAAGCTGAAAATCTGGGTGCGTCTTATACATCGAATACAGCATTTTTTACCTCCTGATGCCCCGCCCCTTCACCAAAATGGCCGTGTATACCCTTATGGAGGCTTTCAAAGAGCTCATGGGGGCTGGGGAAGGCAGAAATGAGCAAAAAATGAGGCATTTTTTGCCCACAACCCCCAACAGCACTCTACAAGCTTCCATAAGGCTATGCATGCAAATTTTTTGTCAAAAAACGGGCCTATTTTCGTGAAGAACGGACCGTTTTTTACTCGTTTTGGGGGGGCCCACCCCCCCAGGAGCACTCTGCAAG